GTGGCGTTAGATTAACGGACATCTCCTGCGGCAAGACGCACGAGTTTGAGAACTTTGCGCAGGTCTTTGTCCAGGATCCAAGGAGTGCACAGTTAGACCAAGTATTGTGAAGCACACTACCTTTCATGGTCAGCGGCTCTCACTCTTTTTTTCTTTTTCTTTTTTTAATGCTATCATGGTATTGCTGGGCTTGTAATCCGCTCAGGGGATCTCCTTGACTCACCTCCCTTGCCTAACCATGCTTTTGCCGATGCTTCAAACACTTTTCAGACCTTGTACATATTTGTATATTACTCTATCGCCTCCCTGGCTGACTATATCTGAGAGCTCTCCTTTTGTCATTGCCTTGTATATTCTGTAAGTTATCTTTGTGTGTGTGTGTGTGTGTGTGTGTGTGTGTGTGTGTGTGTGTGTGTGTGTGTGTGTGTGTGTGCGTGTGTGCATGCGTGTGTGTGCATGCGTCTGTGCGTGCGTGAGTGTTTTTTTTATCTGCTCAGAACCTTATTTGTTTGTTAGAGAATTTCGGACACCTCCACATGTAGGTTTTTATCTGTGAGCTGCGCATTCGCTTGGTCTTGTTTATTACTATTGAAAAATGCTTCACAAAGTATAATTCTGTCGCCATTCTGACTGATAGATAACATTCTATTGTGTAGCTTGCAGTCATTTATCGTGACGCTGTCACTGCATCGTGATTTTGATTTCAATGCTCTAGGCCATAGCCAAGGCTGCTAACCTGTAGCTTCTGCGTGCATGTGTACAGTGTACAGTGTACAGTGCACAGTGTACAGTGTACCAAACACAGTTGCTGCCAGGCGAGTGCGAGTAGCCAGCCAAACCTATCGGCCTCGTTTGAAGAGTCGCTTGACAAGAATGCCTCCTCTTGTCTACATGTATAGTTGTAACCAAGAGTTATGAGCTCTTGCTGTAACCTGCAACGTTGTACTTTCCCCTAGCTCATCAGCTGCACGCATGCTGTGCTGTAGCTACCGCAAAGTTGCCAGCCAGCGAAGTCTGACGATGGCTTGCTCGATATCGAGTCAGAGTCAAGAATTGCATGGTGGACGTGTGCATCTGAACTGGGTTGAACAGCTGCGAGATGTTCAGAGCTGTTACCGTTCTTGTTCTTGGTTTCGGATGCAGACAACGCCTGTGGTTAGTTTTCACTGCCGCTGCCACCGCAGTGGTCCTAGTTCGTTTGGCCGCCACATTTACACCACTTTTTGGGCAACCGGACCAGTTTTGGTTATGGACATGTGCAGCAGCTAAAGCCCAACCCCACCCAGGTACCCCTCATTATCGATCTTTAAATGTCGATCATTCGAATGAGTGCCTGTGGAATGGTGGGAGGAGGAGCGTAGAGCTGCAGTGCAGGGCAAGGAGTCATAACATTTTTACGACTAAACTCCTTCAGCCCTAAAGTAAATGCTAACTTCCGATCACCGGCGCGGCCAAGAAGAGTAGAGATCCCCTGCTACAATACTTACAACTATTGTAACTAACGTTACTTTAGATAGGCTATCCTATACCCAGATACCCCTACGTAGCTAGCTACGCGTATACGTTGAGCCTGGTCCATGGCAACGACCCATGGGAAATCATGTAAAACTTTTTTTGTATGCTACTTTTCGCTTTCATTAATTTTTTCAATCTCGATTCATTTGAACATTTTGTTTCGAGTTATTAGGTTGGGAGCTTATTTTGTAAAATCAAGATCAAGATCATTAGAGTCCATAAACACCAGAGAGTCGTAAAAACTAAAATACCACGTACTGGTAAGCTTTGGGTTCGTCCAGAGAAGGTTGGCGACATGGCCGCCCAGGAAACGAAACGTTTCAGCCAAATGCTGGGCATGTCAGCCAGAATGTACTATTTACTTGATGGGAAAGGGCAAGAACCGAAAAGGTTAGCCTATCGTGCTGGTTTGATTCTTCAAGGCAAGAACAAGCCTTACTACCATTCCAAGGAAGACATGGGAGATCACGTTGTCATCATCAACACGACGAAGATTAGCTTCAAGCTTCGCGAGGACAGGAGAATAAGCTGGCATACACAGTATGGTGGTGGGTACATGAATGTGAATGAAGAGAGAATGAACATCATCTATCCAACTCTTGTTGTGAAGCGAGAGCTGCTGAAGGAGCTGCCCAAGGACGAGATGCGCATGAAGCGCATGGCAAGAGTACACCTGTACCCGAATGAGGAGCATCCGTTCTGGGATCAGATCAACTATGTGCTTCCAGCTGGCAACACCGCATTCAAAAAGCTGGACGAATACTCAAAGGAAGAACTGCAGAACTACCCTGTGTTGGTGCACCCAAAGTACTCGATCATTCCGGAGAAGCATTCTTCACTGGTCCCAGAGTTCACGCAGCAGTATGAGAAGTGGGAAGCAGAAAGGAATGAGCTGATACATAAGTACTACCCGCATAAGATCGTGCGCGGAGAGCAGTAATGTGACAGTGCTGCTTGATACTAAGCGAATTGTTTAATAACGCTCACAAACATTACAAATTTACTGATTATTATCGTGTGCAGATTGAGGTCTGCTCCTCTGCCTCCTGCCGTGTGCGGATGCACATGTGTGTTTGTGCACGTGTGTGTGTGTGTGTGTGTGTGTGTGTGCATGCACGTGTGTGTGTGTGTGCATGCGCGCGCGTGTGTGTGTGTGTGTGTGTGTGCTTCTGGTTACATTGCATCTTGTGTGATCAACGGTGCGTGCATTGGTGAGGCATATTAGGTCCACTCAGATCCACTCAGGTCCACTCATGGCCACTCAGGTCCACTCAGGTCCAGTGTGATTATCAACCCTCATCACAATGTACGCTGTAGTATTAAAAAAGTGGTAGCTTCACTATGGACAGGATTTCAGTTCACCCGGAGTTGGGATCGCCCGTTGGATGACTTAGCCTGTCTAAGTTCAGTCTGAGTTCTGTTCTGAATCTTTCTCTCTCTGTTCCCTCTCTCGGCCAGGGAGACCCACATACCCAACTTCTGGCACTGAATGTGTGTGTGGTGTGTGTGGTGGTGGTGGTGGTGGTGGTGGTGTGTGTGTGTGTGGTGTGGGAGCGACGTGGCCATTTTGTGGCAGTTGTACATAGTAGTAGTAGTGTGGTGTGTGTGTGTGTGTGGTGTGTATGCTATATACATTGATTGGCTGATGAGGTGTGAAGGGCGAGCACAACTGTAACGTAACTGTCACTTCTTGTCTTTGTCTACCTGTACGTTTATTACTGTACATGAGTGTGTGTGTGTGTATCTGGGTAGTTTGTTCAGGTTCTGTGCGTTGGTCTGATGCAAGCACCAGCAGCAGCAGCAGCCTGCCCATACTCGTCTGATGGCCTGATGTCACAGTGATGTGTGAATGTGAGTCTACGATTGTGAACTACACACACCGGGCGAGAATGTCTCTCAGGCTGACACTGACAGTTACATTACAAGTGATGTGTTCATGTATTGCAACGTGTGCAGCACAACAACATACTAGTGGCTGCATAATACATGTACTGAGTGTTTTTGAACATGAAAACGCGGGGTAACGAGAAAGCTTTTGGTCTCTGTTGTTCTGTCGTGTGTAATACCAAGAGTACATAACCCCAGGGGTTATGTACTCTTGGTAATACATGTAGTGTACATGAGTATTGGCAAGAGTAGATAATCAAGAGTGTGCAACTCCCGGATCCGCGCGGATGGGTTGGCCCACGGCGGAATTTTTCGTTGACGTAATCTTTTCGACCACCCACGCGCTGCTAGTCTTTTGGAAAGTTTTGCCTCGTGCACTTGGCCGGGCTTACATATACAATGTCGGTGCCCTGCACGTGCTCTCACACTGCTCTGCGGCAAGAAGCGCTTTTTTCTGAAAAAAGGTGACGTCAACAAAAAATTCCGCCGTTGGCGGGGGTATCTGGAGATTATGCAGGACAGATCCGGAGTTGCACACTCTTGTTTATCTACTCTTGTTATTGGGTATTACATGTACAGTGCCGCTCAATGAAATCCAGTTGCGTCACTCAAGTTTGCGCTTTGCACCTTTTGGCAGCCCAGTGTTCGCAGGTCTAGGGCTGCGCAACGCCCGGCGTGCACTTGAGAAACTCAACTGACTTGAGAAACTCAACTGACTTGAGAAACTCAACTGACTTGAGAAACTCAACTGACTTGAGAAACTCAACTGACTTGAGAAACTCAACTGGATTTCATTGAGCGGCACTGTACATACTGTATAGCAGGAAATTTCGGACGGAATTTATTTTCGTACGATTTCGTACACTGCCTCTTTTGTACTAAAATTAATTCCGTACTAAAATTTGTTCCTGTGAAGTTATAATTATTATCAAGAGTAGATAAACAAGAGTGTGCAACTCGGGATGGGATGGCCCACGGCGGAATTTTATGTTGACGTAACCTTTTCGACGACGCACGCGCTGCGAGCCTTTTGGAAAGTTTCCCCTCGTGCACTTGGCCGGGCTTACATATACAATGTCGGTGCCCTGCACGTGCTCTCACACTGCTCTGCGGCAAGAAGCGCGTTTCTCTGAAAAAAGGTGACGTCAACAAAAAATTCCGCCGTGGGCGGGGGTATCTGCAGATTGTGCGGGAGAGATCCGGAGTTGCACACTCTTGTTTATCTACTCTTATTATTATTTTGTACACTAGTACATTATACATGCGTAACGCATGAGAACACGTGCATTTAGCATGCGCAGCACTGTACGAAAATAAAATTCGTACGAAAGGTCGAAATTTGGCTTTGTCCGAAAATTTCCTGCTATACAGTAATTGACTATGTAATCACATCTTGGGAAAATTATAGTCGGTTGCTGTCTGATGATCGGTAAAATCATGAAACTCAGAGTTACAGCAGAAACGCTTTGATTCCTTCTTTCAAGTGTGTGTAGTTAAATACAATTATGTAACGTTACATGTATATCCTACGGTCGGGCAGAGCAATATACTGTAGAACGGGTAATTTTAGCGACGTAAAAACCCTAGCGAATTTAGCGATCGACTCATTTTCGCTAAAGTTTCAAGTCGCTAATCCGTTGAGACATTAGTAGTGCACTGGTGATTCGTGAGTAAAATCGCTGCAAATCACTAAAATAAAACGTCGCTAATCGGTTGACAATGGGAAAACGCTAAAATTAATAGTCGCTAAAATTACCCGTTCTACAGTAAACAGATGTACCGGCATGGATTGGAGTCCCTCCCTGGAAAGTTGAAAAGTTTGAAGCCAAGCGTGTATTCTAGGTACACTCTTCATTGTTGTTTAGTGGACAACATTGCAGTACAGTCAACTTCGTTTATAACGACACCCGGCGGGGCATCAAAAAAGTGTCCTTATTTGCGAAGTGTCGTTATACCCGAAGTCTCATTATATGTATTACAGTTGGATGGAGCTTTGCTCTGGGCAAGGACATTCTGTCGTTATTCGCGAATTGTCGTTATATCCGCAGTCGTTATTAGCGAAGTTGACTGTACATGTGCATTCGGCAGACGTTTGGTGGGTCAGGTGCCAGCCCTGTGTGCATGTATTGTACACTTGTGAAGTTGTGTGCATGTATTGTTGTCATGGTTTAGGGGTGTTGGAAGGTAATTCAGGGTGATGCGGTCAGCCATCTGAGGTACAATTTTTCTTGCTGAGAGGGGTGGCTCCGTCGATAAATTTCAGCCAAAATCAGTACTTTTGCTTGATTCACAGAGTACCTGGGGCAAAGAGTGGCACTGTCAATGCCGTAGTGCCCGTAGCTTGTCCGACGCCCCTGTGCTTGCTACTGACTGTTGTATATCAGTCTAAGAGACTCTACATGTACGTGTATGTGCATGTATGTGGCGGTGTGTAGGGCCCGATTCATACTTCATTATTTTCGCGTCTGGTGAACGCTTTCAGTGCAATGGGTAAAACTAGTCTAGTTCAAGTCAAATTCACCGCAGCAACAGGCGTTGCGGTGCATTTCCCATACGTGAAATGAAGTATGAATCGGGTTGACGTATTAAAGCATCATACCACCATCATAGCATCATGCAGTTGCCGCGCCATGCCATGGTCAGTGAATGTAGTGCACACTGTACTGTACCCTAGATGTCTTCATTAATTTTCTATTATACTGCCGCCGTCGGCATGATGTCATAGACACTGCCGCCGCCTGCATGATCACTATGATATTCGCCAAAAATAATCCGGCCCATGCATGCGCATCATAGTCGGCTACCATGTGCAGCATTGGCCGGATTGTTTTGGCGAGTATTAAGTTATGGCGTGATCTCATAGACAAGGCATGTTGTCCACACACACTATGGCTTGGGACCCCTGCTTGCAGCTTGGGACCGGCAATTATAAGCCGCTCAGGGTCACAGTGTACCTACTTACAAGTGCCTGGGACACGTCCACATGCCATGGGGGATGTCTGGTCCCCCCCCCCCCCCCTTTGGGAGACCTTCCCACTTCTAGTATCAGCCAGGTTGAATCTCTGAGTCTCCCACTGTACAGTACAATGCATAGTTTTTAAAAGACTAGTCACTTCTGTGACAAAATCTGGTCACATGTGACCAGATTTTGTTGCCAGTTCCTCCGAGATAGCGTGTATCGCTGGTGTACCGCTCGCGCTGGCTGTTTTGTTTTGCTGCATCGATTGGCTGCTTGACTTCCAGAACAAGCAGCTGGTAGGATCGGATGTCCCATGCATGATGTCAAAGCCTGGTCTTTTGAACTCTTTTCTGACTTCTGTTCAGCACTGTCTTTCTGAGCCTGAACATAACATTTGCCTTGTTGTCGTGTTGACGCGATGTGGATATCGGCGCACTGGTAGTATAGACCATGCATTGGTAGATACCATACCGTGCCATCACTGAAGAGTTATGAACTCTTGCCTCGGTGCCATTACATGGTCTGCAGCACAGGCCCTGTTATGTCGACACCACCATGTACCAGCCGGGCCGCGGGGATCCACACGTCTAGCTACAAAGTACTACAACTACAAGTGCATGCAGGGTGCGTGCCAGTTTTACTCGTCAAGATAGTGCACTGCACTGTCGATGTCCGATCGAGGCGCGCTGGGCCTAGCGCAGAGAATCGCACGCCTCCTGCTCTACCGTGCTGAAAAGCCGTCTAGCGCCTTATTTTGAGGCTTCACTTTGGTTTTTTTTCCTGCTGTCAACACGTTGCACTTGCAGGTTGATGGGCCATGACCGTTTTTCAATGAGTTCGTTGTACTTGTAGACTTGAGAGTCTCAAATCAAAACTGACTTGGAATGGCATTGTAGTAGCATGTAAACGAAGTTTTAGTTTACAGTGCGAGTGGGTTTGGCTTTACTGTCACGTCTTGGTCCTTAGTGCGACGTACACTGGCCCATGAAACAGTATGTTCTTCAACGACTCGGGAAAGCCCATTCTCCAAGCCATTTTAGACCGAATCTTGCAGCAACAACTTGAAAAGCAATGGGAAAAGGATGCTGTTGTGACTAAAGAGGCTCTTCTGCCCAACGATGTCGTGGTGTCCATTATCCAACAAGCCACAAGCATCTTGCGGAACGAAGCAAACGTTGTGAAAGTCGATGCTCCTGTGAATATTGTTGGAGATATTCATGGCCAGTTTATGGATTTATTGTACTTGTTTGAACTTTGTGGACCCTTGACACAAACTAGTGAGACTGACAGTTGCAGTCCTGAGACTAGTATTAGATGTGCAGGTTCCCCAGTATCCCCTCGCAGTCCGAAGCCAGAAAGTAGTGATGACAACCTCACACCGAGCACAACGCCCACAACTGCCAGTCGTACTTTTAGTCGTACTAAAGGCCCAGTAAGCCCCCTGGCACCATTATCTCCTGCATCTAGAAAGTCTGGAAAGCCACACATCCTGAGAAAGCGCTCAGAGGAACACCTGGACTTCACGTATGGGCGGAGAAGGAGCGTGTGGGCAACTTCAGACGAAGTGAAGAAGTGTCTGACATCCAAGGATGAGAAGGAGAGCACTAATGGAAGTCGCAGCGGTGGCGACACGACGCCATCATCAACAGAAACCTCCCCCCCAGACAGCACCAGTAGCTCTGAATCATTCAACTCGTCGCCGCTCATGATGCCGGAGAGTTGCCCAGCCATCCCGGAAGAGATGCCCGTCTACTTATTCATGGGTGATTACGTTGATCGTGGCAACTTTGGCTGCGAGTGTATGATCTACTTGCTGTCTCTGAAGGTGGTTTTCCCAGATAACATCTTCCTGCTGCGTGGTAACCATGAAACCCGCTGCATGACCAAGCGTCACTTCGACGATGGGACCAACTTTGAAGCAGAGTGTGTAGCCAAGTATGGCCAGCAGATGTTCGAGCTCTTCATGTCCTGCTTTGACTGCTTGCCGCTGACGGGGCTCGTAGAAACGGGCGAGAAGCCGTTCTTAGCAATGCATGGCGGTATTAGCAAGAAGATCAAGACCTTGGACGACGTGATGGCCATCGATCGCTTCTGCGAGCCGCCGCTAAAAGGCGCCATGTGCGACCTGCTCTGGTCGGATCCCATCAACGAGAAGATTGCTGAACGGTTCAACGATAGCGATTATCAGGAGTTCCTTGAGTTTGACTACCTGCCTAATCCTGTGCGCGGCTGCTCATCCTACTACTGCTATGGTGCCGTGCAAGAGTTTCTCAACGCCAACAACTTTGCCGGCATCTTCCGTGCGCACGAGTGCAAGGAGGAAGGGATCAGCTTTACGTTTGCCAAGACACGGAGTGAGTCGTTTGAGTTCCCGCTGGTGACGACCGTCTTCTCTGCTCCTAACTACTGCGGCACGTACCACAACCGCGGCGCCGTTGTGCGAGTGACTCGCAGCGACATCGGTATCTTACGCTTCAGTGCTGCCAGTGCTAACCCTCTGCAGCCAGCTGGCGATCGTGGGGAGAGCACCACAGGCGGAGTGTCCGTGCTCAGTTTCAATGACATCAGCATATCGGAGAGCAACAGCGAGAAGTTTGAGAAGGCCGTCAAGAAAGACCTGAGTAGTGAGCTACATCCTGGCTGGCAGAGTTTGCGTAAGGTCACGCGCATCGTCACGCTGCTCAGCAAGTACAGACGTGCTGCATCCATGTCCGGCACGGCACTACTGGACTTTGCTGCAGCCGCGGCTGCCACATCCGCCGCCTCGCGTGCCACTGAACAGCAGCGAGCTAGCACTAGCTCTGCGCAGGGTAGAGGGCTACGGCGCACGGCTACGTTCTCCGACAGCAGTATAGACAGTAGTAATGGCAGTGTTGCAGCTGCTGCTGCTGCTGCCGCCAATCGTCCTGTCACACAGCAGGCCAAGGCAGCAGTGTTTCGAGCACAGCGGCGTGCCACAGTCGGAGAAGATCATGCCGCCCACGCCAGCGCAAACGCACACCAATCTCCGCTAAGTCACCGCGAGGCAGGCCTGGCACTTTTCGGCCGTAAGTTCATGTCGGTGGTGGACCCAAGTGCTGCCACTATCGCTAATGCTGCTGCTGCCTCTGAAGAGCAAGCTCAGCTGCAATCATGCATAAGTGAGGAAGGAGACGGTGAGCAGACAGAAGAAGCAGAGGAGATGATGCTTCGCTCGCCATCCACAAAGTCTGTCATCTCCAGCCAAGTGAGCGAAGAGGATAACGAACAGCTGCGCATTCTCTTTGACGCCATCGACCAAGATGGCAATGGGTCCATTTCACCGTCTGAACTGGAGCAGTTTGGCATGGAACTTGGCTGTGAGGCTCACGTCATTGCACATGTCCGTGATCTGATGGACCAGAATCACGACGGCGTCATATCGTACGACGAGTTTGTGGAATACGCCGGTGAGCTGCTGTACAATGCAGACCAGCCACCTGCTTGATGTCAGCCGTCCATCAGCTCTCACAGTACTATACGCTTGCTGCCGTACTTCCATGCGGCCTAGCTGTATGCTACTGTCGTTGTCGTCATCGTCCTTGTGTAGACGGCTGTGCTGGACATGGCAGTGGTCGTCGTCCTTGTGTAGGCGGCTGTGCTGGACATGGCAGTGGTCGTCGTCCTTGTGTAGACGGCTGTGCTGGACATGGCAGTGGTCGTCGTCCTTGTGTAGACGGCTGTGCTGGACACGCAACGCCGACTTGTCATTTCTCAACTACTACTACCTAGCTACGTACTGTGCAGTGCTGGCTGTGTGCGACGTCAACTCTTCTTGTACACACACACACCAGTAGTGGTGGTGGTAGTGGCACCTTGTACCAGCCCTATGTACATGACATATGCTACATCAAGAGAGCTTGCCTGGCCACCAGCCTGTGTCGCGACCTTCACATCTCTCTTCACCATCATGCTACTGCAGCCAGACTTGACTCAGTTGTATTAAAAAAGTATTTGCACCCAGACAAACTGACCTATACCCAACTTCAGTGTCCATTATTAGCAGTGGTCACTCACACGAGTACTACGCTAGACCCATTTTTTTTATAGCGCTTAGTTTCTCATTGTGTTCTTCTACGTTATTTTTTACCGACATATTTCTATTCTCTGGAGATGACCTGATGTGTTCACTGTTGCTAGTCACCCTTTCTTCTTTCCTCCTTTTCCTCTCTTGTTCCACCTTTTCCTCCCTTGTTCCACCTTTTCTTTCGCTCTTTTCGTTAGGCAAAGAATGTCAGCACTGTACGATGTTGACTATGTATGTTGCACAGGTATGCAGGACATGCGGGCGAAGAGAAAAGCTATGCAGGATGTCGTAACAAATACCTGTGTTCGTGTTTCTCCCCCGTGTTTTCTACCTCGGTAGTACATGTAGTGTGTACTACACGTACTAATATATATGTTATTGTAGTACCCTGTTTAGCCCGGCCGTGCCCGGTCAGAACGACATTGGTGTGTGCCTTCAAGCCTTGTTGTCATGATGCACTACAAGGTGTTGTAATTTCTGCCCTGACCTTTGTTGTGTGTGGATCCATGCAGTGCTGTGGTAGCATGCTTGGCCATTGCATGGACAGGTGCGTGTGAACGTGTGTGTGTATGCGCGTGTGTGTGTGTACGTGCTTGCTTGGTTACTCCTTGAATGAAATCTGTGTGGTGAGTGTTCACGTGTACACCACGCTTTCTTGTTTCTGCAAGGTACGCATGCAGCTGGTCCAGGGGTTGTCCGACCCATATAGCCAGCTTGCATGCAGCTGGTCCAGGGGTTGTCCGACCCATAGCCAGCTAGCTTGACATTGAGCAGGGTGCATGTGCATGACCGAGTTTTACTTGTATCCGCTTCTGTGCCTACAGTAATGGCAGTTGTACATTGCTTCAACCGCAGCATGCAATGGACGTGGGGGTCAAGAAACCGTACACCAAATGCGTAAATTCTGGTGGTAGAAATTCAGCCTTCACTTCGGAATCGGCGGAATTGGATTCCATGGGTTCCTGTACTACCTCTGGTTATACCTAGTGTACCTGTAACCTCTATGAGTATGAATGTCATCTATCATGATCAAGCTTGAGCAGTTGCCATGACTGCACATGCATACCCCCCACGCACACACACATACATGCATACCCCCCATGTACACCCAGCCACGACAAAGCAGATCGTCAGAATTGATAACGCAAGGAGTAAAGCCGGGGAGATGAAAACTAGTTTATAAAAAAATAAGACCCAATACTGGCAATAGCAGCAGGGCAGTGACCAGAGTACAGAGTACTGGCTGACAAGCATACAGCACTACAGTACAGTAGTTTCAGCTTTGTCAAACACTGTCCACTAGCCTGGGTGTACTGGAACTACTACCAGCAGTGGTGTGGCGCAGTAATTCAGAATTGACAGCAGCAGCAGCAGGACTAGACTTCATGACGTTCCGTGAGAGAGAGAGAGAGAGAGAGAGAGAGAGAGAGAGAGAGAGAGAGAGAGAGAGAGAGAGAGAGAGAGAGAGAGAGAGCAATAGAAACTCACATTAGTAGGTTTGATGAGGAAGTTCCGTGACCAGGCATATCAATACATGTAAGACTCTTCACATGCATTGTCTGTATGATTCAATGAATAGTGCGGCCAGGGCCAGAAGCGTGAGAGAAGAGAGTAAAAAATTACTTTAAACTTCTGCAGCCAGAGTGGCTGATTTATCAATGACAAGTCATACAGAAATTATGTACCTGGTAATCGGTGTAGTCTTGTGAGAGAATACTGTCTTCGTACATAATGTAACATGCAGCGGAAAAAATATGATAGCGCATTGATTTTTCGTTCGGAAAGAAATGTTCCTGGAGTATAAAATTAAAGTCGATAATGATCACTTGTAAAAGAACGTGTTTTTTTGGTAAATGTTGCTCATCTCTGTTGTCTTATATCGTGAACTGCAAGCACGTTGATTTTCCCAAGCCCGTGAAAGCTAGGGAAGCTACAGGCGAGTGTGACATGCACTCAGGTGCGGGCAGGAGGATTGCTGAAGAAACATTGAGGGACAAATACAGCCGTACAACAGATGAAAAAAAGGTTGGGTGGGTTGGCAAACGTAACGTGTGCAATGAAAGTGGTTACAAAAATGGAGATGGATGGAAGCACACGCACATACGGATGCACGCACGCATGCACATAAGCACACACAAGGATTGCATTCGAGAGTTTGAGACCAAACACGTCTCTCACACCCTTGTCAAAGGTTATGGTAAATAAACAGGCAATAGAAATCTAGGTAGTGATCGCAAACACACAGTGTATGACGACGCTGCTTGGAAGCCATTACTGTAAAACGGCTAATTTTAGTGACGGTGATATTTTAGTGATTATATCGAAAGGAGTGTTTTCGCTAAAGTTTTGCCGCACCAATCGAAATTCTGCATGTACAGTACAGTACTTGTAGTTTTAAAACTCTGAAACTCCGACCGCTAAAATACTTTATCGCGAATAGGTCCAGATTCAGAAAACGCTAAAAAATGTTACTCGCCAGAATTAATCGTTTTACAGTACATGCAGTACATGTAGTGTGCCTGAGTGCTTTCCTCTTCAGGGCATCTGCTATCTCGCAGTTACAGTGCAGATTAATGCAGTGATATCCACACGGTGCTTTAGAAAATCCAGTTGCCGAGCAGGCGGAATGTAAAAAAAAAGAAAAAAAGGAGAAAAGAAGAAAAAAGTACTAGTACCCACCGTCCGGACACCTAGCTGTTTTGATCTTGCTTAGGTAAAAAGTAGTCAGGTATGACATGATAGACATGCCACACAGTCATGCTAGTCAGTTATCACATGCTATACATGGTTGACATGGCAACCGGCTAGGCTTACCCTGGTCTCGTGTCAGTCTGAAGGGAAACGTGAAACTCCTTCTCCCAGACGGCAGTTAGCGCTGAACACAGCGCCTTGACGGACGCCGGTGAACAGCACTCAAACTGCCAGCCGCTGCTGGAGTTATCTGCGTCGTTGTCGTCCACATCCTACACAGCAGCAGTGGGTGAAGAACACACAACACACGATCTGCTTATGTTTGTTAAGCTTGTGTTGCATGATCATTGCACTAGTATTGATGTAAGGCTCTTTGGAGCCAGGGCTGGTCGTCAGTGCACCTGTATGTGTGACTGGACCTGTGAGGGGAGGGGGTCACCCCGAACACACGGCCGTCTGACGTGCGTGATGCGCATCTTAATCTTTCCAATACTCCGCCGTCATCACTAACCTCTGCAAAGAAATCAATGCCAAGATAGTGCGGACTGCCATCGTACAGGATCTGAACAAACATAAGTACACACACGTACACACACACACACACACACACACACACATAAGCAAAGTAGCCAACACAATCACACAATAGTGAGTAAGAGCAGATGAAAAAGGCATATGCAGCTATTGAGTTGTATTACCAATTTTACCAGTATTGCCATAGATAACCACAACGACAACAACAGCAACTATTACTTCAACAGTTCAAGGTACAACTACAAGAGCAAGAACAAGAACAAAAGCGAGAGCAAGAGCAATCTCTTATTGGCCATGGGTCATGAAGAAGAAGAAGAAATGGGATCATGAGTGGAGTAGAGGCAGTAGATTATCTAGCCCATGCCATGCTGCTGCTGCTGCTGTGCAAGTGGAGTGCATCGGCCATGTTGTTATGTTGTTATTGTGTTTTCTTACCTGCACAAGCAGCCATTATCATGTAGTACTGTGGTGAAGAGTAGAATCCTATAGAGGATATGCAATGACGTCAAATCTGCCGTATAATGGGAGCTAGCTGAGTGGTAAGTTGCCCATTTTGGGGTACAGTGCATACAGAAACCCCATGTATAGAGAACACAGAAACCCCATGTATAGAGAACACAGAAACCCCATGTATAGAGAACACAGAAACCCCATGTATAGAGAACACAGAAACCCCATGTATAGAGAACACAGAAACCCCATGTATAGAGAACACAGAAACCCCATGTATAGAGAACACAGAAACCCCATGTATAGAGAACACAGAAACCCCATGTATAGAGAACACAGAAACCCCATGTATAGAGAACACAGAAACCCCATGTATAGAGAACACAGAAACCCCATGTATAGAGAACACAGAAACCCCATGTATAGAGAACACAGAAACCCCATGTATAGAGAACACAGAAACCCCATGTATAGAGAACACAGAAACCCCATGTATAGAGAACACAGAAACCCCATGTATAGAGAACACAGAAACCCCATGTATAGAGAACACAGAAACCCCATGTATAGAGAACACAGAAACCCCATGTATAGAGAACACAGAAACCCCATGTATAGAGAACACAGAAACCCCATGTATAGAGAACACAGAAACCCCATGTATAGAGAACACAGAAACCCCATGTATAGAGAACACAGAAACCCCATGTATAGAGAACACAGAAACCCCATGTATAGAGAACACAGAAACCCCATGTATAGAGAACACAGAAACCCCATGTATAGAGAACACAGAAACCCCATGTATAGAGAACACAGAAACCCCATGTATAGAGAACACAGAAACCCCATGTATAGAGAACACAGAAACCCCATGTATAGAGAACACAGAAACCCCATGTATAGAGAACACAGAAACCCCATGTATAGAGAACACAGAAACCCCATGTATAGAGAACACAGAAACCCCATGTATAGAGAACACAGAAACCCCATGTATAGAGAACACAGAAACCCCATGTATAGAGAACACAGAAACCCCATGTATAGAGAACACAGAAACCCCATGTATAGAGAACACAGAAACCCCATGTATAGAGAACACAGAAACCCCATGTATAGAGAACACAGAAACCCCATGTATAGAGAACACAGAAACCCCATGTATAGAGAACACAGAAACCCCATGTATAGAGAACACAGAAACCCCATGTATAGAGAACACAGAAACCCCATGTATAGAGAACACAGAAACCCCATGTATAGAGAACACAGAAACCCCATGTATAGAGAACACAGAAACCCCATGTATAGAGAACACAGAAACCCCATGTATAGAGAACACAGAAACCCCATGTATAGAGAACACAGAAACCCCATGTATAGAGAACACAGAAACCCCATGTATAGAGAACACAGAAACCCCATGTATAGAGAACACAGAAACCCCATGTATAGAGAACACAGAAACCCCATGTATAGAGAACACAGAAACCCCATGTATAGAGAACACAGAAACCCCATGTATAGAGAACACAGAAACCCCATGTATAGAGAACACAGAAACCCCATGTATAGAGAACACAGAAACCCCATGTATAGAGAACACAGAAACCCCATGTATAGAGAACACAGAAACCCCATGTATAGAGAACCTTTGAGTGACAAACATACTATGTGACATGTATTGCATATCCTCTATAGTGTACTACATATCCTCTATAGTGTACTGCATATCCTCTATAGTGTACTAGGGTGTACATATCCTCTATAGTGTACTACAAGGATGTACTACGCTAGTGCCAATACACTCACCAGTGAAGACATGTTCTCAATGAGTTGACTTGACACTAGAGCACTGAAGAACTTCCCATCAGCACCAGTAGCAGCACCAGTAGCAGTAGCAGTGCCAGTACTGGTGTCATTGCGAGGCAGACGCGGTGCGGGCATGTTGTAGTTACGGCGTGCTAGGTAGACAGTTTTGTCGACCACGAGCACGTCAACAAGTGTCCTTTCTCCACCTGAGCACATAGAGCGACGGCGAACACACAGTCATTACATACACACATACACAGTGTGACATGCACATACACAGTGTGACATGCACATACACATGCACATACACATGTACATACACATGCACATACACATGCACATACACATGTACATACACATGCACATACACATGCACATACACATGCACATGCACATGCACATGCACATGCACATGCACATACACATGCACATACACATGCACATGCACATGCACATACACATGCACATACACATGCACATACACATGCACATACACATACACATACACATGCACAGAAAACATGCGCATACAGTCAAACACACAGACATTAGAGATGTTCTGCTGTACAAGTATGTTGTGTGAATGCAACCCGAAGAATCTTTTAAAATCACTCTTCGCGTTCCCGGAACGTATAAGAAACCTATTCTGCTCTAGGTTCGCGCATAAAAATCGCTTGGAATTTGTACTGGGAATTTCCCGTTCCAAATTCGGCAGCTTTCTCTCTAATTGAATGATGCCAGCAGATCCGTACGCATGTTCTTTGCGCGTGTTATAACGCAGAAAACCTTATCTCCGTATAGAAATCTGGACCCGAACACGCGAAGCTGTAGACTCTAACCCAGACACCTGTTTTCTTTACATGATTTCTTTACGTTTCACGTCGAGCAGAACCTCTCTAATATGGCAAAGCACCTGGTAGTGACCTCACCGGAGTACTCAGTAGGTGCAACTAACATGCGAGGAAACCCACACAGAGCACACAGCATTGCACTCAAGGACACAGTTCAGTTTCCTACTGAAACTACTGCAAGTAACATCTAGTGTTTGATACACAACTACTGAGTATCCATAAGATACACAACTATGCATAAGGTACACAACTATGCATGAGATACACAACTATGCATGAGATACACAACTATGCATGAGATAGGAGTGCACTACAAGTAATATACCTGATTGAATGAAGTAACTTGCAATCACAGAATCCACCATCCACTTTGATGTTGGCCATTGCTTCATGCTCTGTACACGACACGTCCAAAGAAGCAAACACAAACACACATGCACGCATGCACACACACACATACACACACACACACACACACACACACACACACACACACACACACACACACACACACACACACACACACACACACACACACACGCACGCACACATATTAATATTAGAGAAGTTAAGCACTACGAAAAGTTGAGCAACTTTACGTAAGTAGACGGGAAAACCCGTGAATTTGCGAGTTTGTATTCCTCTTACGGAAAGTTGTCTACGTAGAGCACGTAGATAGGGCTCTGATAACAAAGGTGCTCCGTAAGTGCATTGGGTACAAATTTAAGACTCTCTCCCCAGGTCAATCCGGTTGTACACTGCCACTTTCGGAGTTGCCAAGGGCAACTACATGATTTGAAAACTCAGTATGGCGGAACACAGATCCGCATGCAGTTTACGTAAGACTTTCTGTAGATCGACTACGTTTCTTACTAACGAATTATGTTACCTCTCTACTATCTCATAGTAAACACACTGATCAAGGCATTCCAGACAATCCAGCTACATGCTCTTATCTTCCCCTGCTTCCAATGAAGAATACACATTACATGTGCAGAATAGCACAGGTAGTAACAGCATTCGGCATTCGCCCATCCATGGTACAGGGATGTCAGAAGTCACTCCATTCATTCACTATACACTGGACTGAAGCGACCACTGGTACTGCTGACATTCATTCTAAAGATGTTTTCGGCTTCTCTTGGGCTGTTCAGTAATTTCCGCCCACCCAGATTCACATGACTTGGGTTTAGGCTAGGCGAGCACAGTGAACAGGACATGTTTTCCACTACTACTAGTACTACTAGAACGGTACACAAACACACATGTACCAGGTCATCATGATCTGTATTGCCCGCTTCTTTGCCCGTAGCCATCGACAGTAGCATACATGTATATCAGATATAAGACGTGTAGAATAACTGTAACAGAGGGCATGCTCTACTCTTCTCATGTCATACAGCCTCTACAAGAGAGTGCGGGGGGTGGGGTAATTGAGTATGTGACAAAAAGGGGGGGGGGTGATTGAGTACATAACAGGAGGGGGTAATTGAGTACCTGACATTGCAGGGAGGGGGTAATTGAGTACCTGGCATTGCAGGGAGGGGTAATTGAGTACCTGACAGGAGGGGGGGGGGGGGGGGGGTAGAGTACTGTTAGCCTCTAGTCCAACTCCAACTCACTTGTGTTTGTGAACTGAAGCCGTAGCATGGCGTGGGCTTGTCCAAGAAGACAGCAGACGGCGAGCTACCACCCTCCACAAACAGTAAGCCATCTCGTAAGAGATTCTGGCACATGTGCACAGCCTGATAGCAAACATGCATACGTACACACAGAAAAACAATAACACACACACACACACACACACACACACAAACACACACACAAACACACATACAGACACGCAAGAGTCAGATGCACACACACATAACTATAATGAAGACAGAATTTTAATAGATGCAAACCGCATCAAGTGCCAGAACTTCAAATTCGAATTTCTGGCGGAATCTACGAGTAGCAAGGAATCTGGCCGAGATTAAATTTTCGCAAATCGCAGCATACCCCATACTAAGCATGCATTGAAATTTGAAATCCGTACTTCAGAGCAATTAATTGCGACAAGCACCAAGTGAGTTTTCTAGCAAAGTGCGACTCACCCAAGCTGCACTGTACAGTGCACACAGCAAGCACAAGTCTCTCTATCGCCATGTGTGTGTGTGTGTGTGTGTGTGTGTGTGTGTGTGTGTGTGTGTGTGTGTGTGTGTGTGTGTGTGTGTGTGTGTGTGCGTGTGCGTGTGCGCGCGTGTGCACACATAATTGCCCCGTGCTCACTTGCTACCAGGCAATCTACATGTACACATTATAGAGAGTGTTTTGGGTAACATACCGAACGTCTATCTCCTTCCAGTTTGAGTTCGAGTAGCATGTCGACTAGGTGTTGACCGGGTATACAGGCAGTGAGCACACCCCCACTGCTATCCACCGGTACCAGAGAGACAGACTGACGCAGGCAGTGACGCGACACAATGTCATACTGTGCCAGACACGATAAACAAAGCAAAGCAGAGCATGGCACACAGCAGCATAGCACAGCATAGCACAGCGCAACACAGCAAAGCAGATCAAAACACAGCAAAGCATGTGGCAGCACGGCATACGGCACTGTGCACAGCAGATCACACCACAGCATCGTACCCAAAAGTGTTAAAGTTACACAACAACAGTACCTATACGAGTACACATTATTTACCAAAAGCTAAATTTACTGATTTACTCGTGTTACCCGTTGGCAGATGCGTCAACCCTGCTCCTGTCTAAAAGGTTCAGGGAAGATGCGACTTGTACGGATTATTTATAACCTGCAACAATGTCTACATGTAGTGGCATGTTTGCCTACAAGTCTCAGTCAGATTGCGGCGGCAGCATATTGCGGCACATTGGATACTTAGAGCTAAACATACCGCCACATGATCGAAATCCACTGCATTCGATTTCAGGATTTCCAGTCTGCAATCAGTCGATGAAGAAGAAAAAATGCAAGAAAGAAAGAGAAAGAGAGGGAGAGGGAGAGAGAGAGAGAGAGAGAGAGAGAGAGAGAGAGAGAGAGAGAGAGAGAGAGAGAGAGAGAGAGAGAGAGAGAGAGAGAGAGAGAGAGAGAGAGAGAGAGAGAGAGGGAGGGAGGGAGAGAGAGAGAGAGGGTCTTGTGATGTGCTGGTTGTACACTTCCTACAACGTCTTGCCTCATATCGAGGATGGCAGCACACATGGCATCACTAAGTCAGATTATTAAAACTTATACCGTACTTCCGCACATACTGTAAGACCAGTAATGTTAACGAATTAAAACGATATGTACATGTACAGTCATTTGCCCGGTTTGAGAGAGAATTCATTAAAATTTCACCTCGCTAACCCACAGAAATCCAGAGATCGCTAAGTCTAATTGACATTAAAATATCTGGTCTTACAGTATAACCGCATGGGCTAATAAGTAAAACATTGTTGCAAAAAAGATTTTCTTGCTGTGTAAACATCCGGGTGCAAGCCCATGCGCTTCATTTTCCAGAAAATTAGAAGTCTTGAATGCGTGCGTGAAAGTTGCAGTTTTCATTTGCTTGATGGCCATGTCGTCCAGAAAGTCGTATTCCCTGGAAAAGAAGCTTCAGGTACTGAAGCGCTACCATGAGCTGGAGAAACATTGCTCTGCAACGTCGCGTGAATTTTCGATTTCTTGCCGTGTGATAGAACGTTGGGTGAAGCAGGAAGACAGTATTCGCCATGAGCATCGTCGTGCGAAATAGCATAGCAATACTGACAGGAAACAGAGGAGGATTCCGTGTGCTGAAAACTGCCACTTTTTTCCGATATAGAAGACCTGCTGGCTAGTGCTGGCGTCTTGGATAAGGGAGAAGCGCGAATAGTTGCTGTCAGTGCATGTGAAAGCTATCGGAATTGAAGCGAATTTGTTTTGGTGATCTGCACGGTGAGTACCAGTACCCTGTCAGTGCTTCTACAGGGTGGTTATCACGATCTCTCGTCACAAGCTCGTCTCCCGTCGCGTCGCATCAGTTGGGCAGCTCATGCCATCGAACGCCGCAACGAGCGCGCAGACCTTCATCAAAGACTTCAGCAGTGCAATCAGGGCGAGTAACATCCCCACCAATTGCGTAGGCAACATGGACGAAAGTCCATCTTGGTTCGATATGCCATCCAATGAGACCTACGACTTGGAAGGTGTGAAAATGGTCAAGTTCAAGACTACTGGGTATGAAACAGTGGCGTGTCCAGGATTTGGCTGAGGGGGGGGTTGCGGCCGGGATCAAGGCGGGATGGGGTGGGGGTAGATGACATCATGCTACTGTCCCAGGTCAGCCATTTTGAAAACCGATGTCAGGAAGCTCCTCCTGTAGCCCCCTTCTTCAACAGTTATTCACCCGAACGGCCCCAGGGCCAGAGACAGTTCCGGAGGATCAGCGCACCACATGGGGACAAGTGTCGACCTTGCTTCAAGTTCCCTTTCTTCGTGGGCCTAAGGGACGATCGAGCATGATGTTTTGGGGAAGCATTCTCTGGAACGCTCTCCCCTCTGATTTTAGAGTGATACGTGTCCCTGGTCCCTTCCGAAAAACTCTTTCTCCCATTGCTATACTTACTTTGTGAATATCCTCGTTAAACTTTTATTATCTGCCATAAATTCCAACCTTCTCATCTATCAATCATTTGTGCATGCATGTCTATAAAATCAACCACGTGTTCCTGACTCCATGAGATTGTCTTTCTATTCTTTGACTCCATGAAATTATTGTCTTTCTATTTCTGACTCCATGAAATTGTTCTTCATATAAATTTTTCCCTTTCTTCTTTTGGTCCTTTCTGTCTTATATTATTATTATTATTATCATTTCTTGTTTTCCCTTGCATATCATTCTGTGAGAACCTGTCCTATGGGCAGGTGAGAAGGCATCTCTGCCTGTGCATTTGGTGAAGTAAAATAAACAACAACAACAACAACAACAACAACAACAACAACAAGCCGTAAATCTCACACACCACGAGCAGTATTTCTGTACTCGCAGCAACAATGTACATTGTAAACTTCAAAATTTGCCGTTATGTGAGCGAATAAACTGCAATTATTTATGCGAGTCCAACAATTTCTCACCGCTCTCAAAGCATCCTTTACATAGGCAGCGGTACTTGTCACTGTGCGCTGTTCTTCATGTTCTGGCTGCTCGCTGACAACAGGTTCTTCCACGTCTGGTGGAGTGTGACTGTCAGTCCGCTCCGAAAGTTCAACTGGAATAACAGCGACTTCATCACTCCCACTGTTTCCTGTTGGAGCGGCAGCAGGAGTTGCGCCGCCACAGGAACGCTTTACAAAAATTCCAGGCTCTGCTGGCTAGAGCTTGGCCTTTTGGGATGTCCCTGAGACATCGAAGAAAAGCCTTCGAGTTAACCAAAACACGATTCGAACGAGGATGATCGCCTGAGCCCTCGGCATTCGAATCGTGTTTTGGTTGACTCGATCGAAGACTTTTCTTCGATGTTTGTACCGTTGAAGACGCGTCGAGCGCGTCCCAGCAGGGATCACACTGTACAACAGTACACAGTCAGGTCACCGTGTTTCTGTAGCCGTGCATGCTCACTGTACTGTACGTAGACTCTACTCTGTAGACTGCACTGTACTAGTCTGTAGTGTGTACAATCAACACCAGCTCGAGCACCGCATGCGCGCACCGTGCAACCGCTTTTGGACAATCGTTTCAGGCCGCGCGCGCCCCGAGCCTAGTCTAGCTCGACCGGTCGACCCGGCGCGCGCCCTGTATTATTTTTCGAAACCTACTAGGTCGAAATTTTTGAGGGGGGGGCGCGCGCCCCCCGCGCCCCCCCCCCCCCCCCCCCCCCCCTAAACCCGCCACTGTGAAAGACTGCACTGGCAAGCGGAAGGAGCTCAAACAGATCATAATTTTCAAGGGCCTAAAACATGTGCCAAGAGGAGAGTTCTCCGCACGTCAGCAGTCCTTGTCATGGACCGCCACCGAAGTCACTCACACAAGTCGACTGTGTCAAGACCTGAAGACTCACCACAACACCTCTAAAGTTATAGAGCTTATTCCGGGTGGCATGACATGTGTGTACTTCAGCCAGGTGATGTCTCATGCAATCGCTCTATGACGTCTAAAGTGCGCCAGCAGTGGGATGAGTGGCTTGAAAAGGGACAGGAGGAGTTCACCAGATCTGGGAAACGGAAGCGTGCTAGGTTTGACACCGTCGCTACGTGGGTGGCCGAGGCCTGAGATGAGGTACCCCAGGAAATGCAGCGTCATTTGTCAAGTGCCGCATTCCGTAAATGGTGGTGTAGTTGACCTGCAATCGGCACAGCAGCAGTTAGTACGTAATGCGCAACTCCCCGACGACGCACCCGCTGATGACAGCGACACAGACACAGACACAGGCGGCAGCAGCGACAACAGTAGCACGAGCGGAGATGAAGTAGTGCTGCCGAGTGGTGGAGAGTCGGATCACGATGAAGTTGTTATTGGCAGCGACGAGTCTGGTCGTGAGGAGTATGAGTCTGGCAGTGCCCATTCCGCTGAAGACAGTGATGAGTCCGGTGGTGACAATTTGGATTTATTTTGACTGTTCTGGCAGCGTTCATGGTGATGGAGAGAGCATGTGGTCACTGTTGAGCTCATACCGATATTTTTTTACCTGTTGCGCCAGTATTTATCATCCTCTGCAACTGAATTTAAATTTTCTGGTGTAGGTTCTGGTGTAGGCGTGCTTTGCACGGTATACTGGTTTACATGTTTTATGCCATGTTCTATTCAGTGGAAATAAAGCATTTCCGGTGTTCTATACCATGGCGGTACCACAATGAGCTCCCCAGTGTTTCACCAATTGTGTTCACATAATAAAGCCCATGCGCTTATATCCGGACATAAGCCCGTGCGCTTATATGTGCGGAAGTACGGTAGTAACTAGTAAGGAGTGTGGCGCACATGTACAATATAAAGTCACGAACTTCAAGCTCCCTCGATGCCTCAAGACTTCAAGACCTCACCCTGCTCTACCCGGCCCTACCCGGACCTGCCCCACCCTGCCCTGCCCTGCCCTGCCTGCCCTGCTCCATGCATACCTGAGGTGATGTAGTGTCAAGTAGTTGCTATAGAAGATACCACGGTAGGCATGGCGACAGCAGCTGATGTGCTTCAGTACAGCGCCTAGTGCAACACACAGATCCAGCGAAAGGAGCAGCGGCGGCAGCAGCGAAAGGAGCAGCAGCAGCAGCAGCAACAGCGGCAACAGTAGCAACAGCAGCAGCAGTACTCAGTCAAGCAATCAAAAACGCACAAGACTGCATGTTGGCAAACTATAAAACGTAGTGTACGTACAAAATGCAGTGACACGTGCGTTCGGATAATCAAGGTAATCGGGTAAGCGGGGTTCAGACACACACAATGTAATGTTTCCAGGGTAGGGCATAACATCATGTACATATACCTGTGAAGTGATGCACAAAGTCCAGACACCGATGTTCATCCCCGACTAGAAATGTGAAGTAGGCATTGGGAGAGTCAAACTCCACACGCAGTGTCTGCAAACGTACACATTAACAGTACATGCACACAAGCACCCACACACATACACGCACGCACACACACGCACACGCACATGCTATCTCAGACATTTCTATGATCTCACAATGATTCTTACATGCACAAGTGCACAAGTCAATTATCTCCTTGTTCACATTGTATTCTATTATGTCCAAGATGGACTAGCAATAGCTTGTTGTTCAGCTCTAGTTCCGACACAGGACACAAATATCGCTCAACTGTCAAGCCATTGGTGTAAAAACATCCTTGCTGGATAGTTGTGTTCCACTGTTGCAATCTAGCACGATTGCCCGCGTTATGTTATCTCTTATACAGGTTTAGTTGTCATCTGGTCGGGTGCAAGTACCCTCCGGCAGAGCTCACCACGGCAAGTTCCTTTTCTCGTCGTTTTAGCATTCTTCTCATCTGATTAAAGGCCGCAGAAACGGGCCTGTGGCCCTCCTCTCGAAGGTGAGCCCTATACAACACTAGGCCAATAGCCCTATACAACACTAGGCCAATAGCCCTATACAACACTAGGCCAATAGCCCTACACAACCGTATGCGCTGGACACTATGCACTGTGGCAAAGAGACTAAGGTGATTGTTTAGACTGACCTGACAACCCAGTCCCACCTCCACAAAGCAAACATCGGAGAGAGGCAACTTTCTGCTGCAAGCTGGCCACGAATCCGGACATATCCTGTATGCGCATATGCACACACGCATATACAGACACACGCACGCACACGCACACACACACACACACACACACACACACACACCACACACACACACACACACACACACACACACACACACACACACACACACACACACTCACATGCACGCTCACATGCACACACACGCCCACGAACACACACACACACATGTGACAATAGAACAAAGGCATTATAAAGGGAAGAGACCAGCAGGTATGCGTAATAATCGGTGACAGCAATGGTGTAACCAATACGCGTCTGAACTCCAAACGGAAGTCCAACACTTCACTCTTTTCAGCACCGTTGTGGCTTGACCCGGTTTCGGAAGCAAACACTGCTTTGAAGTGAGTGACGCCTTCTGGATGAATAGTTTCCAACAAATTGATCAGGGTACGTGACTCGAACAGTGCACCTGTTGATGACGGTCCAGCCGCCGTCAACTACAGTGACGGAACTTTTTGCCACTAGAGTTTCTAAACTAAAACATGTCAGTGTCGAAAACGTTACGCTTGGCAAATAGAACCACCCTGCAACAAATCATTGAAACAAAGGATTGAAACGTCTCGCTGGCCAGAGCCAGGAGCAGGAAGGAAGAGCCTTGGCCTTGGGCCTGGCAAAACGCAAAGTGCAAGCACGTATATGTACATGCGTATGATGCGCATATGCATTAACGCATACAAAAAAAAGAATCGGTCGGCGCTCAAAACATCAGTCGGTCGGGTTACCCGAAACAAAGGACATTTTCGATGCGGCCTAATAATAATTGTTCTTTCGGGTGCATGTTTTCGCTCCTGAAAAGATATTCTCGTGGTTCCCTTCCAGTATTTCCTATGGATACGTACATGGTGGTCATTGTTCCTGCACTCATCGTCGGACTAACTGAAGAATAAGAAAGAGTACTCGATTGCCTGAAGAAAACTAAGCTCTGCTATGTGCTACGAAAACTTGTTTTCCTACGAAAAGATGCTCATTTCAAGAACATGCTTACTTTGTTTAGATCTCCCACAAGGATATGCCTAGTCTGCATGCAAGTGAATGGTTCTAAACATCTGTACCTGTCTTCTGTTCAAACTGAACACATCTATTGTATGTACAGACACGTCACCAGAAGTAGTGGACTGACTATCTTTGAGAAATGTCAAGCACACATGCTCTTTCCCTCAGCATACCTCAGCATGTGCGTTCGACATTTCTCATGGAACTATGAAGCTGCAGGATGCCTCAACCCCTATTGACTGTCTTTGGTGTTCTATTTGCCAGATAACTACGGTATCTGTAGTGGCACGGCACAACCGATTCACAACGCAGCACCGGGCAAATCCCACGCCCATGGCCGTGTGCAGTGGCACACGACAGTCCAACTGGACACAAGCGCACAAAGGCCAAGGATAAGAGTCCAATCCCTGGATTGGAACTGTTCAGTGGTGGAGGGAGATCCTGAACAGCTACGTCACAGCACACTCTGGAGAGCCTCATGGCAACCAATGCCAATCTGGAAAGGAGGCTATGAAACAGTACAAATTGCCAAGCAGAGCTGTGTGTGTGTGTGTGTGTGTGTGTGTGTGTGTGTGTGTGTGTGTGTGTGTGTGTGTGAGGATCCGAAGCTGGAGCAGCAAGCAGATACATTCCGAGGTGCACAAAGTGCCCAAGCTTAGAGGAGGAGCATCAACCATACCAACGAAAAGCAAAAGGACCGGAAGAAAGTCACTGATCATAAAGCCATGCTGGTTACCTGACAAGCGTGACCACACACTGTGGCACAGTTCATGCCAGACGCACGGTTTCTGAGAGCACCCTGTCTGCTCTGCAACCAGAAAGCCGCACTGGCCTGACGCCTTGCCCACAAGATTTTCAACCACCGATAGAACTGGGCACTCCAGTTTCACCGTCAGCAATTGCACAATGGAATGTCCTCGTAGGAGAAGTGGACAAGCAATTGCTTTTAAAGGCACAGATCACTATAACAGCGGATATTCACGTTCTGCTGATGAATTGGACACAAGTGACAAAGATCGACACAAGATGGGCGTCCATGCCTGGAGTGAGAAACAGCCGGTGACCTACGCACTTGCCACCACAGTAGTAACAAGTGGCGGTGGCAAGAACCAGGCAACGACAAACTACGATGGGCTGAAACACGTATATGGTCTTGCCAATATCAGCACTGCAGTGGGTGACAACTCACCCACCCGATCTGGCAGCAAGAAGGGGCATGCCGTGGAACTTCCTGCACTGTTCAAGAGTGAAACCACTTTTGCCGGGTGTTATCCCCATATTCTAAACATTGCATTGCGGAACGGAATGGTCCAGGCATTTGGACTGAGAGGAACAATGCAGTCATTTATCATGTTCCAACTGCACTAAAAGGTCGGCTACGTCCACCATGGAAAACCTAGCTACTACAAGTCTCTGTATGTGTCCGAAAAGATTCTCAGCACACCTCCACCGCTCCCACAAGAGTTTGTTGAGACACAGTGGAGTTATATATATGATTCACTTAGGTGGTGGAGAAGGTACAGCCTATCCCGTATCAAGCTGGGCCACAAGATCTAGGAGTTCCTGCCCAAGAGTGACAGTCACTACTCGATTGAGCAGATGGCCGCAAACCAAGAAATCAGTAGACACTGCACACTGCCCCTTGAGGTACTGGACCGCCTCGTAATTCCAGTCGTACATGATTGCCAGGGCTGCGATGGTGAGCTGAAATTCAGCAACGGCTTCCTTGCTGGGTCTTGGCCAATGAGAGTGCTGAGCGACATCAATTTGGCCAGATTAGGGGTCGTCGCAAAAGTTTTCTGTCGTCCCTGAAACGAACATCGTTCATTTCGTACTTGGACCCCCTCCCCTCCCTCTGAAACGAACACAGCTTGCTATGCTGGACGACGAAAATCGCATGCATGTACATGTCATATGTACAGTGTCGGTCGACTTGCGATTTTGGCTCGCACCCCCTCCCCCCCAAATGAATCATGTTCGTTTCAGGGACGACAAAAAACTTTTGCGACGACCCCTTAATGGTTGAAGAAGCAGAGTTCGCTTTGCCTCTGATAGCTGCAACCATGGCCGACTGTTCGTACGGTGTCTACATAGAGGTGTCTGTCTAAGCAGGTGACGCGGTTTGCGCAGCAGTGCGTGTGCTCCTTGCAGAAGCATGCCACTAGATGGCACAAGTTCCCTCAGCTGTTTGCACTTGGTGGAGACAGTTTCCACACGCACTTCTTCTGGCAGTCAGGGTTCCGAGTGCTCAGTCATCCCGTAACCGTTCCTGAGACGAGCCTGCCTGCACGATCTCTAGCAAAGAACAACTCTGATTTGTACACCATGCTGGTGACGACTGCATTGTCGCTGAAGGATACTCAGCAGCTAGCTGCAGCAGCAGTTCAGCACGGCATCATTCGTTCAAGGAACTACCTTCTAGGCGGCACACAATGGTTCCTAGAGTTCGTTATTCTGGCAATCGTTGCTGCAAGTGAATTGGGCCTCAAACGTTGGCTGCAAAACTGGCCTGTGTGTGTGTGTGTGTGTGTGTGTGTGTGTGTGTGTGTGTGTGTGTGTGTGTGTGTGTGTGCGTGCGTGTGTGACGATTGGCTGAGCTGAAGAACATCACCGAAGGTTCAACTGGACAGTGCTTATCTTCAGACCAAACCCCAGAGACTTGGAAGTGGTTTGTCAAGCACACCTTTGCGATTCCAGTCAACAACGCTGTGGCAGAGAGATAATTCAATACTGCCCAGCTATACGTTCATCCGAATGAGTCAGAAATCAGCAAACAAGCCGCGCACGTTTCTGTGGAGAACGTCATTCACCAAACCGCCAATACACAGCTCAGCAAGAAGACTCAACGGACACAGGCAGACAGACATTCATCGGTGTGCCGACCTACCGCCTAGGTGGCATACGGTGGTTCCTTGAGTTCGTTATTCTGGCAATCGTTGCTGCAAGTGAATCGGCCCTCAAACACTGGCTGTAAAACTGGCCTGTGTCTGACTTGCTGATAACTGAAGAAAGTCAAAGCAGTTACAACCGCACAGCGCCTATCTGCCCACCAGACCCGAGAGACCCGGAAGTGATTGGCAAGATACTTTTTTAAATACCCGTAAACAACGCACAGTGTCCTTCAAAATGACACAAGTGAGCTTCACGCGAACCATTGAAGGTTTAACATTTTCAGTACTACTGCATACTATGACCTAAGCGATTTTCACCAAAACCATCGGTGCGGTGGGAACAATTTAACGATTTTGAGCGTGTTGAAGTCATTGTTGCAAAAATCAACTGCGTTAATTATGGCTCACTTGAATGGATTTGAAGAGGCTAGGGTTGACGTAAAGTAGGGTGATTTTCTGCGCAGTTCTCCATACGCGGCATGGTGTGACACATCGTCACGACAACCAAAATGGCGCCCACGTGTTTCTGTACAAGTTCTATCCCTGACAACATGGCAGAGGACACAAGGACACAAACACCTGATTGGGCCACTAACCTCTGATTGGGACTAAGGTCACACAGATACCAGTGTGTTGAAGACACGACAAGGAACTTGTCCACTAGCTCAGTGCTGTCCACATCCAACGTGGGGGCCTGAAACAACAAAGGGCGGTAGGGAAACGGTAGCACGACATGCGCATTACTAGAACATGTTGATGACAAAACCATGGTCAGGCAAAGTCATGTTGGCAATCTTGACACATAAGATAAAGCAACTGCTTGACATTGGTGTCCATATATGCCAAACACACAGGGCTTTCTGGCATTGCACTGGAAAACTCACTACTGTGCCGGACAAACCAGGAGTTTTCTGAAAATCATGGGACATTTTCAGACATGTGGGCAAGCTGTCTGAGGGACTGGGGCTGATTTCGAAAGACTTCTGGAGATGCATGGACCAGTCGTAGGTGTAAAATCGTAACTTTGGCAGTTGCTTTGAAATGTTATGGCTGTAATAAAATCATGATTACGTACAACATGTTGAGCGGTCTCTGCTGGGGTGAAAAAAATAACATGGCCGCCCATATGCTATAGAAACTATGGGGGATATACAGGACTGTCAAGATAACACAGCACACACAACATATACTGTACACAACACAAACACAGCACACGGCGCACACATCAAACACATCACACGCATCACACACATCACACATATCACACACGCACGCGCGCGCGCGCACACACACACACACAGCACACACACAGTACACAATATGCGGTAGTACTCTGTCCTTACCCTGAGAATACATGCGCATGATTCATCATTGCTGAAGAACTCTAACTGTAAGTGTAGCTGTAAGTCATGGCTCAGGTATGTACAGTCATCCAGGGAATAGCACAGTGTGGGTGAGGAGGATATCGTAGACTGACGATCCAGAACTATGCATGCACGCACGCACGCACGCACACACACACGCACACGCACACACACACACACACGCCCACACACACACACACACACACACAACATAATATACATGTACATGCGCATGTGCATGTGCACACCCAAACACCCACACACACACGATCACATACACCACACCCACGCCCACACACACAGCCTATGTTTTCAAGACAACAGCAGCAAAAGACCCCTGTTCAGTTTGGATACCAGAAGCCACCTCAAGCATACCATGCAACATACTGATGTGATTGTGAACTTGTGTTGAAATACAACTTGCTTACAAAAGCCTTGCTCTCTGAAGTCTGAAGACAACAGGTGGCTGCAAAACACAGGTTATATTGTGTATCTGAATACTCGTACACCATAATTCTGCGGGCACGTGTGTGTGTGTGTGTGTGTGTGTGTGTGTGTGTGTGTGTGTGTGTGTGTGTGTGTGTGTGTGTGTGTGTACGTCCGCGTGTGTGTTACAAACTCACCACGTAAACTATCCGTAGTGTCCGGCGATGCTTTAGATGGTTGTCGCGATAACTCATCCAGCTGCTGGTGTTGCTGTGATACGGAGGATGAGTAGTATGACTGTTCTGATCCAGCCTGTCATGCATGCCAGAGTAGAAACAAGACACAGGGATCACGCACACAGCAAAGCATAGCACATATACATGCATACACATCCAGTTACGCACAGCACAATGTACCATGTACATCTTAAAAAGTACTAGCCCCACCACAAAACAACTGTGCACAGCTGTAAAGGAACTTAAAGAGTGAGGCATGACACCATGCACTGTTGCCATAGTACCTGGCTACCGGCATTCACCAAGCTGGACGAGCCAGTGTCAGGACTGTCCCGGGGAAGTGACGATGCTGCTGCTGCTGCTGCTGCTGCGGCTGTGTTGGTTGTAGTGGTTGCTCCGGCAATCCAATTTGACCGCAGACTCTCATCGAGTGTGCTAGTGCCTGTAGGTAGGCATTGTTCTTGCCACACACCACCCGGAGGAACAACTCCATCACTAACAGCATGAAGATGCACATACACACATTTCCAGACACGCACACACGTACACACACACATGCACACACAGACACACACAGACAGCCAGACAGACAAAAACACATAAATATTATAATTATAATACCACAGACACACCCAGGCAGAAACACAGGCAGACAGACAGACACACAGACACACAGACACACACACACACACACACACAGACAGACACACAGACAGACAGACACACATACACAGAGTAACAGTGATGACAAGAGCAGCAGTGCGCGGCAGTGGAAGCAGAAACAGTATTTGCATTTGCAGTGGCAAACACACACCGCAAAACAAATGTTTAAAGTCACCATCATGCCATACCTGTCATGATTGTTAATGATAGGCTTGGCCCCAGACTCCTGTACACTGTAGCGTGACAAGAACTTTGTGAAGCTTCCCTCAGCACCACCACCAGCAATACCACCAGCAATGCTGCCGCTGCCTGTGGTTGGCGACGGCGGTGACATGGGTGAGGTTTGCGTGGGCGTGGTGGTATTCGATGTTACGCTACCAGTCTCCGTGCTGGAGGCTATCGTCGTTGTCGTTGCCACGGGTTGCTGGCGTGACAGCCCTGCACTGCCATTCACAGTTAGCGACTGCAGGTCGTCGCTTTTCCACTGCAAACCAGATGTGCCCATTTTCTGTAGGCATGGAAACGAGAACAGCAATGTCGTATTTAAAAAAAAGGCCACTAACATTTCAACTATATTTGGCGCCTTACCAGAATGTTTGTAGAATTTAAAGCTCTTCCCCAAGCACAAGTGGATTTTTCTATTGAAAGGGAACCAGCGTTAGAGTGTAAAGCGACTCGCAGCAGACTCAAGGCACAAGCCGCCTGTATGGCCTCTGCTTCGCGTAGCCTGGACTGCCGCTCAAAACAGCAGCCATGAAGGTGTTCTTAAAGAATACAAAGGCCACAGGATCAGCACAGGAATGCGTTGGGCATGGTGTGAAAAAGACCAAAACAGCAGACTTCGTATTGCGCAAGCTTTTATGCAACATGGGCACTAGAAGAAATCAATTTTCTGACGAAAATAAAAAGCTGATGCGTCAAAGTTGAGTTTCGATGAAATTACATGTACATGTAGATGTAGATGCTGCCCAAGACAAGGTGTTTTGCAGTACTCAGTAAACAATAGGATTTCTAACAATTGTGTTTTACCTCTGCAATGGGTGTTACTGGTGTCATGCCTGCATCCACGTCATCAGTACCTGACATATACCTCCTGTATGGCAATCATAAGAAACACGCCACACACACGTGCACACATGCACACACACACACACACACACACACACACACACACACACACACACACACACACACACACGCACACATGCACACATGCATACCTATGTCACCTGGCTGATTTCCAGTACAAGCACAATACATATACATGATATCCGGCGTGTCCCCAGTGTCGCCAGTGTGTTCAGGACTTCAGGTAGTACGTCAACCAAGCCTCACACAAAGGCAACACCACACTCAACAACTAAGAATGATAGGCTACATGACAATCAACAACTGAGAATGATAGGCAACACGATAATCAACAACTGAGAATGATAGTCAACATGATACTCAAGATCATTACCTGTACATACAACTGATAAGACAACAGTCACCACACACACATTGCAAGACAGCAGCTGGAAACAAAACAAGGGCAACGTAAGGCATGATTAAAACTCACGAGCTGCACTCAGACTCGACTTCCATGAGCGGCTTAGGCGAGTATCCCGGTCTTGGTTCTGGATCCATGAGCATTGACGAGGACATGAGTGACCGTCTTGCTTCCAAGTGTGGACCAGCGCGTGTGGTGGATGGTGACGCTGCTACAGTGTTGAAGCTAGCCACCAATGGGTCTTCTCTCTCAGATTCTCTGCCCCCCGTGCCAGCCTCCAAGCTACACAATACGGCATTGCCATCAGATCAGCATGCACACATACAGAGACACACATACACAAGCACCCAGACGGACAGACAGACAGACAGACAGACACACATACACAAACACATACACAAGCACCCAGACGGACAGACAGACAGATGCACATACACAAACACATACACAAGCACCCAGACGGACAGACAGACAGACACACATACACAAACACATACACAAGCACCCAGACGGACAGACAGACAGACACACACAATCTGAATACACCCATAAGCGAACATACACATGTACACATGCTTGCTTGCACATGCATACATGCAGGTGCACACACACACACACACACACACACACACACACACACACACACACACACGCATACGCAAATATAGCAGCAGTGGTTTCTACGCCTGGTTGACATTGGTACCCAAGTACAAGTAGTACAACTGCGTGCGCACACACATACACGCACGCGCACGCACACACACACGTACACACAGACACACACTGCGGGCGAAGGAGAGGGGAGTGCACCAGTGGCAGCTAATCAACCTACCTGCCGACCGAGGACTCGTCCAGTGACCGTTGATGCTGTACAGATGTTAACGTTGGTGTAGTGACATCTCTTGTCAGGTGATTGGCTGACGAACGACCAGAGCTCAGTGCCTGCCAGTGATAACAGGATTGACACGAACAAGAAGAGAAATGGTTGCAATGCCCAGACAAGCCAAGAAAACGTGAAGACATCGGCGAGGACGCAAATTATATCAAATTGCAGCAATTGTTGTTACAGCAGACGGCACTCAAGGATGGGCGCCTTTGCATGGAAGAATGCATGTGGGTACGTCAGGATCCGGAATGCACTGTTCAAAACCGAGAACACGTCCTGCACGGGAGTGCATATCGCACATGTACTAGTACTTGAAGTGCTATGATCGTGTACATTGTAGCTGCCGAGTATTACTAGTACCTGTTCAATGTGGTACGGCTGCAGTGGGTCTCTTGATGCCGGTTTGACTTCCACTGAGACCAACATGGCACTGGAACAGGTGGGGCAACGCTGCTCCGCGCCGCCCTGCCCCGCCACACCTGCTACCGCCGGTGAGTTGCCATGGCTACTGCCGCTTGTATCACGGAACACTGCCGAGCATGTCAGACACTGTGTATGCATGCACACGTGAACACACGCACATATAGATTGTACACACAAACACAACCATAAAGGCGCTGCAACAGTACTGGGTAGATTGTCTAACGTGCCATGCCTAGATTATCAACAGTGTGTGGAGAAACAAACTGCGACTACCAAGCTGCAACACAGAAGCATTATCCTACATGCCTACACTGTACATACATGTTAGTAACTTAGTATTTTATCATTCCTAACACAACGGACTCCGCACAATTTAATTTCTGATGATGGCCAAAAAAAAGAAGATAATCTCATACCTAGTAATCCTAGAAACCATGTTGACCACCCACCTAACTACAGTGTAACCCACCTTAACTGTACACCTCCCCCACCATATGCAGTACTTGTACGTGTACACTGTCCCAAAGTCAACCAAGGCAAGGTGTGAGCATACACTGTGGGTGTGGACATGGTATAGAATCCTTACCTCTAACATTGGACATACGGCTGCTGCTGC